TGGCTGAAAGCAGAGAATACCAGAAAGATGTTTACCTGTTTTATTGACTATGCAAAGGCATTCGACTGTGTGGATCATAACAAATTATGGATAACATTGCTAAGAATGGAAATTCCAGAGCACTTAATTGTGCTCATGAGGAACCTGTACATAGATCAAGGGGTAGTCGCTTGAACAGAACAAGAGGATACTGCGCGGTTTAAAGTCAGGAAAGGTGTGCGTCAGGGTTGTATCCTTTCACCATACCTATTCAATCTGTATGCTAAGGCAAATAATCCGAGAAGCTGGACTATATGAAGAATCGGAGGAAGACTCATTAAAAACCTGCGTTATGCAAATGACACAACCTTGCTTGCTGAAAGTGAAGAGGACTTGAAGCACTTACTGATGAAGATCAAAGACCACAGCCTTCAGTATGGATTACACTTCAACATAAAGAAAACAAAAATCCTCATAACTGGACCAATACGCAACATCATGATAAATGGAGAAAAGACTGAAGTTGTCAAGGGTTTCATTTTGCTCGGATCCACAATCAACACTCATGGAAGCAGCAGTTAGGAAATCAAAAGATGCACTGCATTGGGCAAATCCGCTGCAAAAGACCTCTTTAAAGTGTTGAAAGATGTCACCTTGAAGACTAAGGTGCGCCTGACCCAAGCCATGGTGTTTTCAATTGCCTCATATGCATGTGAAAGCTGGATAATGAATTAAGGAAAACCAAACAAGAACCGATGCCTTTGAATTGTGGTGTTGGCGAAGAATATTGAATATACCATGGACTGCGAGAAGAATGAACAAACCTGTCTTGGAAGAAGTGTGACCAGAATGCTCCTTAGAAGCAAGGATGATGAGACCTCGTCTCACATACTTTGGACATGTTATCAGGAGGGATCATTCCCTGGAGAAAGACATTACGCTTGGTAAAGTAGAGGGTCAGCAAAAAAAAGGAAGACCCTCAATGAGATGGACTGACAGTGGCTGCAACAATGGGCTTAAGCATAACGATTGTGAGGATGGCGCAGGACCGGGCAGTGCTTCGTTCTGTTGCACCCAGGGTCGCTATGAGTCAGAATCGACTCGATGGCACCTAACAACAACATCAAAAATAAATGTAATGAAAGCCACATATGTAATTTTAAATTTCTAGTAACCACATTAAAAAAAAAACAGGTGAACTTAATTTTAACAATATATTTTACTTAACCCAATATATCCAAAGTATTAACATTTCAACAGATAATCACTATTTTAAAAATTAATGAATATTTGACATTCTTTGTGTGTGTGTGTGCGCGTATGCGTGTGCTAAACCCTCGAAATCTAGGGTGTATTTCACACTCACCGCACATCTTATTTCACGTGGCAAATGCCTACCGATTTGTACAACACAGGGCTACACAGTCCACATCTCATAATCTGGCCCCTGCCTGGCCCCAACCCACTCTTTCCTCCACACTCTGCCCTGCAGCCACATTGAGCTACTTTTGCATTTCTTTCCTCAAAGTGCCTTTCTCCCTCCCAACACAGTCCTCTACTGTTCCCAGGCCCTGGAAAACTCTTTCCACCTCACCCTTGTGGATCTTAACCCCTCATCCTTCAGGAAAACCATCCTTGGCCCCTCTCCCCTCTCCTACTTTCAAAATATTGTGTATCTCACCTTCACCATACCCACCCCGTTTTAATTTGACATTTGAGAGGCCACTTGGTTAACATCTGTCTCCCATGCTAGCCTGTGAGCTTGAGGACAGAGACTGCCACTTCTTTATTTTCCCCAGAGCTGAGCACAGGGCCTGTACAGGTTTTCAACGCATCGAATGAATAGTGTAAAAATTAAATAAATATGCCAAAGGCCTGGTACATACAAAGTACTCAGTAATGTTCACTTCCGTTCCCCTCCCTCTGGTGGAGAAAATTCCTCCTTATAAATGAAGCTTTAGACACAATAGTTTCTTCCTTAACTAAGGGACTCTTCTAACCATGTAACTCTGATAGAGAACTGGAGACACAAAACAGTGCTGAGGATATTTAGGTAGAAATTTTAGTTAAGCACAAGATTTAAATATTTCTCCCCCCCACCATTATGCACCACTGAAAAATACTCAGTTCCTTTTCATGATTTGGGTGGTGATTAAGGAAAACTACTCTTCAAGTCTGAAAGTAATTATTGCTTTCTCCATGACTTTTTTTTCTCCCCTTGAGAAGGGAGGAGAAGGAGCTTTGGAGTAGGAAGTGGAATGGGGCACCATTGTCCCTTGCCTAACCAGCAGATCTGGCATATAGCCAAATGCTAAGGTGCTGCTGTTTCTCAGCTCTTGCCTTTTCTAATTCTTTCCCAGGCGAATATAAACAAGAAGTCTCAGATCCACAGCTGCCAACTGACCAAGTTGATGTCAAACCCTGTATAGATGGTATCTGTCTAGGTGAAGATTCAGCCCCAAGGCCATGTTGCAAAGCGAAACTCACCATTTGGCTTCTTCCACCTTTAATCCATTCTGGTCCCTCTCAGGACAGTAAGTTTGAAGAATCACATTCAATGCCACCGTCCCAAAACATAGTAGAATTATCCTACTTCTCAGGGCCTACTCTCACCAGTCCAGGGGCCTAGGATAGGAATGACAGTGATTTGTACTTCTGCACAATGGCTTCTTCAAGGATACTGAGCCCCAGGACTGCACATTTCCCTGAAGCTTTCCAGATAATCAACAAGGTATTAACAATTCCCATGTATTGCCCAAGTGATTCATTTAAATATCATTTGCATATTTTAAACTCTAGGCTGGCTTCAAACCAGGTTTCCTTGTTTACAGTGGGTATAATGGGGCACACACCCAGCACTCCAAGAAAAGCCTCAATTAAAGTCCATATTGTGTGATTACTATTTAAAGATTATCTATGCTGTAACAGTTGATAATGTTGAAAACCTATAAAATGGGTGTGTTGTTTTACAATCATATTTGAATGTGTGGATGATCTACAGCTGGTGCTTAAAGTCAGAATTCAGAACCCCAAAGAAAATGACTTCATCGAAATTGAACTGAACAGAGAGGAGCTGAGTTATCAAAACCTGCTAAAATTGAGTTGCTGTGAATTGGGGATTTACCCAGAGCAAGTGGAGATCAGAAAGCTACCCAACGCACTGCTTAGAACGGTACAGTTTCCATTTCTAAGTAAGACTGGACTCTTAGTGGATAAAACTTTTATGTGGAGCCAATCATTCAACATTTTCATAAAATTCAAGACACTGGAAATTCTGGCTAGGGTATCAGCATAACCGAACAGTAGCTAGGTCATCTTCAGCCTGGTGCTGTTGTAGCTCTGCACACCTAATTCACAAACCCTTAAAAAAAATCTCTGAATGATAAGTAATGCCCAAATTTTGACTCTAGTGCAGTAATTTTGGCTCTACCAATCTCTGCAGAACTGACTGCTTAACAATAGGTTGCATCGTCCCCGGGACAGAAAACACAAACCCTCCCTTATTTGCTTAGCAAGTCAGCCTCTGCAATCTCAGGAAAATTTTGCATTTTCACATTTCCGAGGTCCAAAAAACACATCTCAATTTTTTTTAATTCCAGAAGACAAAAATCTCATTTCTTTGGGGATTATTTTAAAAAAGTTTTATTAATGCCTTTGGCAATTCTTATTAGTGTCCTAGCTGATAGTATATTCTTTGTAAATTAAGTGGTGGGATGATCATATTTTGTTGTTGTTAGGTGCCCTCTGAGTCCATTTCAACTCAGTGACTTTCTAGATAGCTAAAAAAGGCATACCCTGGCCTAAAGTCTTTTGAGTAATATCAAGTTGGGACTATATTTCCCTTAGAAACCTGAAATAGGGACAAAATGGATGGATAGATAGAAAAGAAACAAAAACATTCTCAAATGCTAACATGAATAGACAAAGATATAGAAATATATAAAAATAGACGATATAGAAACATGATGAATTATGACAAGAACCCAAGATGCTGGCCAAGATTATTATTATTAAGCCTTTTAATAACTTCACATAGTATTTATAAACCATTATATACTTTTCCACATTAAGGATAAAGACATTCTAAGACTACAGGACTTTCAGGAAGTAGAACTCATTTTAATGAAAACTGGAAACTCTGAATGGATACAACACATACCACCTCTGAGAAACCCTGCTACAACAGCAATGCTGCAAAAATGACTTACTGAAAAAAACCAGAAATGAGAAACTGGAGTCAATATTTTGTAAATAATGAAGCCTGAATTCATGTACCCGTTTTGCTAACTTCATTGTGTGAACTTTGGAAAATTACTTCATCTCCAACTTCTCTGGGCTGGAAGAAGCGTTAAGTTCAAAGTGCTTTGACAAATAAGATACAGGTATAAAAAATTGTAAGGTAGATACCTACCAACGCAAGTTTACTTTGTAGAGTTGTACCTCAATCCTGACCAGGCAGAGGCATGCCCGGCTGAGATTCAGTCAGGACAAACGGCCAGGGTCTCCTCACCCCCGAAGGGCAGTGAGCTAATGGAGATGGGAAAGCCAGAACTGACTTGGCAACACTGGCTCAACCAGGGCTTTGTTTTTAAGGGCACTTATTATTTCCTATTATGCACTTTTTAACTTCCCTATAAAAATGCCATGATGTATGACTTAATAACTACTTTTGTGGCTATTTTTAACATACACTTGCAAAACTGTCAAAAGCATAGCACTGAACAGAAGGAAAAAAGTTGGGTGTCCTCACCAGCATCCAGCTCAAAGGTGGGTTGTCATCCCTTCCCATGCTAGGTTCCTCCCTACCACCCTTCTGGGCCAACTCTCTTGCTAACTTCCAGTTAATAACTGCTTGCACTCAAATACTGCTTTACCCACTATATTTACCCACTTTTATTAGCACGCTTATGTCACCTTGCCATTTACACATCTGCCACTCCTAGACTCTGAGGCCATCTCAAATCCTTTATGTACTGAGGTATTATAAACATGGCTTATGGCCAAGCAGTGTCTTATCTGGATCCCCAGAATATGAAATAGGCCACTGTTTCCTCATCGCCAACTCCTCAATAGCTCAGCTTCGGTGAAGTGGTGGGTAAGAAGCACGACTGTTACATGTACATTTATCTTACCCAACAACCCAAAAAAAGGAATGTTTTCAGTGGCGCAGAAGTGTGCACCATTTCATTCAAAGAATATACTGCAATTTGCTCAGTATTCACGGGCCCCTCAGGGGGCCAGCACCTCAGCACTGAGTAGGAGCTTAGCATCTAAGCCCCACGTTTTGAAAAGGGAGCATAGTTCCAAAGGAAGCCAACTCCACCTAGTGTTCAGCCATCTGTTCCCAGTGCCAGAGGATGTGATAGTGGGTGAAAGGAGGTCCACCTTCTGTGACATTCCCTATTTTCAGTTTTTTTGGTTTGTTTTAAATGAGTTAACTGTACAATTTCACGTAACAGTAAATATTTAGGCAGGGATTCAGGACTGATCATGTTAACAGCCTGAAATCACCATTTGTAGAAAAATGAGATTTTAGATTGTTTTAAAATAAACACGGTACAATAAACTTTTATCCCTTGAAAACAAATTACTGCAGAGGAAACCTCACATGTGCATAGAGCAGAACTCACCAAGCTGCTACGCAGTGGTTAATTACAGTAAGATCAACGAGGGTGCTAATTATCGAAAGGTTGATGACCAAATCCAATACCTGTTTGTTACTAATAAACACAACCCGGTACCCAAACACATCGTGTGTTAGTTTTTATAACACATAGTCTTAAATTGCATATTGAGAATAAAACAAAATTTGAAGTGCTTGAAGAGTAATTGATGATACAATTTTCACCTCATGCATTGGTTTTAAAAATCTAAGTGCAATTCCACTAAGACTTTAAAAGAAATGAATCAGATACTAAAATGCTGTAGAAAGTTCCAGAAAATATTTAGGTTAAAAAGAATTTGGAAATGATCCAGATTCTTACTGGAATGGCATAAATCTGAGAGAAAAGCTTCCATGGAAGCTGCTTAGACAGGAGAATAAAAGCATCAGCTCCCTGGCTGACACCCAAATGAAAATTATATCAAGATAAAAATATCACACAGAAAACATACATTTAGGTCCTGCTTCTAGCTTTTAAAGAACTACGATTAAGAGCCTAAATTTGGCACTTAAAAATAGTATCTTTTAAATTTCTGACTCGCTGAAGGAGTGAATTTCATGAAACACATTGTTTATATTTCATTAGTCACTACCTACACCAAGATCTTTTCTCATTTTTTAAAATTTTATTAAGAAATATCATACATACAAAAGCACATATACACAGTTTAAAAACGCCTGCCCACATATCATCCACCCAACTTCAGAAATAAGCATCATCAGTTCCTTTGAAGGCCCTTTTGCCCTCCAGTCACTTCTCCCTCCACCTCTCCGATGCAACAGTAACAGGGAATTCTGTGTTACTCATTTCCTTTTTCCTTTCAGTTACGATTTATTTAATGAGCATGTTTTTGACCTTTACAGAAATGGAATCATACTGGATGTATTCTTCTTTGGCTTGCTTTTTTTGACCATTATGTTGAAATTCATCCCTGTTCACACGTGTAAGCTGTAGTTCAGTCTCACTCCTGTGGAATTTCACTGTAGCAATATACTAGAATATTTATCCAATGGACTGTTGATGAGCACTTGGTATCTTTTAGCTGATTTTTTGTTTCCTTTTTCTTATTACAAATGATGCTGTTATGAACATTCTTACATCCATTTCCCGGCGCACATGTGCAAGAGTTTTGCTAGAGTACATATCTAGGGGTGGAATGGCCACGAGAAAGGAGATGGACATGCTTTACCCACTTATGCCAAATTGCTTTCTGAAGTGGTTGCCCCTGAATGTATATCTGAAATCTGTTGACAACTGATCTAGCTATACTTGGGATGGTTGAGGGGAGGAAACAGATCAACTATGGAACTGTCTCAAACAGCATTTTTGAAATAGAAATTTCAAAATTCTGATACAACAATGAAAAATACATTTACTTCTCTGCTTTGGCTTATCTGAAATGTACTTTTAAAAACTACATGTTAAACTTAAAAGTGCTGTGTCCTATGTCTCAAAATAAATGTTTCTAAATATACTGAGTGAGAACAGCAAGATTCAGAACTTGGTATACTATTGTGTATAAAAAAAAGCCCTATACATACATACTTATATCCCCCCTCACCCCTGGGGGTGGGGAGGGGAACCACTTGGAAGAATAAATTAACAGTAGGAGCTCTTGGAGAGGAAGAACAGAGGGAAAGGAGTAGAAGGAAGACATAGATACTAACCACTTCTAATGTTGATTTTTTTTAACCATGTGCAAGCATTACAACTGTGATACAAAATTTCAAAAAAATCTAGGGTTCTTTCACAAACAACCAAAAATCAGTCAGACTTCAAACTTGAAAACCAACCCCGAGGGAGGTCCCACCCCACAGAAAGTATATACAATAAATTCTCAGGGTTTTTTTTTTTTGCTTCATGCACATTAGAATAATAGATGTTTTAAAACATATTCACATCTCATCTACAATGCATTGTTTTAAAAACAGAATGGATGCAAGCTCAAAAAACTTCCACCATAAATTTTTCAGTTTTTATATCTCTAGAAACTTCAGTCAGAAGGTGGCTGAACTCAACTCATACGAGGTCAGTGTTTTCAGAACTTGGAAATAAGGTTGGTTATCTCTGTGACATTAGCTATATTTAAGAAACCAGACAGACCACCTGCAGATGAGTAATGCTCAAAGAGATGAGGTATGTATCTAAGCTAGGCCATATGACTAGGTTATTATAACCTCGAGATCAAGAAGGCAAGAAAGGTGCCTTAAAATCCAAATCGAAAAATAAATGTATTGTGATCTGTTTGAAGAAAAAATATGTTTTAACATGTAGAATCCATCTCTACATTCCGGAGAAGATGCCTTGAGCAGCAGACTGGTTTGCCTGGTCCCCTTGAGAGGCACAATGGAAATTATGCTACGAGACCAGTATTATAGTTTGATGACTGGCAATTAAAAGTTCATTCAATTTATTTGATATTAAGAAACTGTTATTTTAAGGAGTCTATCTTTTAGAGATACATGCTGAAATATTTATAGATTAAATGGTATGTCTGAGACTTGCTTCAAAATAATAGGGGGCAGGGGATACACACATGCACACACATATTTGAAGACTGGCCACAAGTCTTAATGGTGGTGAGTTCAGAGAGGTTAATTATATACTGTTCTACTTGTTTATGTCTTAAATTTTCCAAATAAAGAAGTTTAAAAAAAAAGATCAACTGATTACTTTGATATCATGCTTATCTGATTAATTACAACTGGCTCCACTTAAATGCATTCCAAAGAGAAAATACGCATTAATTGACAACTTTCTGGTCTGCACGGTAGAAATGTGTATTTCTTACAGTAAATTAGCACCTGGCCTCTATATTGGATTCCTGTGAGTTTGGTTAGTAAGAGTCAGTTCTCTTGAACCAGTTAAATTTTGGGTGTGATGAGGGAAAAATACAAAAACAAACAAAAAAACCCAACTTCTAGATCTCCACAACTGGGAGGGACCAGATATTAGGCACAGATACCCTAAGAGGCCAGGTCTTCCCCTCAAGTCCTATGTAACTTCAATAGTTATCAAGAGATCTAAGTGTTCACAAAGAAGACTGTTCATTAATTCATTTACTGTACTTTATTATAGTTGCTAATTCTAGATGAGGCAGAAGAGAATAAACCTGTCCTTTTAATATGTTAATAATTTAATACCTTAATAATGTCTTACATTTTCTGTTTTTCTTAATACTTAGTAGTACAATATAGTAAACTATCGTTTAAGTCCTCTACTCCTACAACTATAATTTTGTCAAACCACACAAAGCAGCGATTGGGAGCTAGCTGACTTTGTTAGGTTTTGTTTCCCATTTTCTCTTAATCTTCATGGGAATCATCTCTTATAAATTCAGAGTTAACCCACTCACTATGGCTGCATCTCCAGGGTCAGGTAGGGAAGCCAGGGTGCTCTGTTCCCACAGCGTTTTCTCACACATGGCCTCTGAAGTGGTGGTTCCATTACTTTCCAGAGCTTGGTGGAAGATATTTCAGTAAGTTTTGTAACTATTCATTATGCCTATTAGAATGAATACAGTAGCATAACAGTGAAGCACTGGACCATGAGGCACAGACAGGATTCCATGTGCTAGCTTTCCATTAACATGAAGCCATATGACCTTGGGTAAGTCACTTAACCAACTTAATCACAGGAACTGCAATGATATATGCAGCTGGTGATCATATTTTTATATAGTTGAAGAAGTTGGCTATAGTCAGAAACATGCTACCAACTTTCCTGTATGTGACATAAAATGATCAGCTGCTCAGGAATCAGGTTGGTCTTCTTTTAACATCCTTATTATATATACTATATACCCCATACAAAGAAATAAACACATTTCTAAACTGACAAGAGCAGATTAAAAGAAATCTTGATACAGAATTTAAAACAATGGCCTGAAACTAGTTAAAAGTTCTTGAATGTTCTTCTACATCATTATTTCATAGCTAGAGAATGACAGTGTTTGTCAGGATATTTTGAATTTTATACTACTAAAGAAACCTCTCGGGGATGTAAAAATATATTCTAGTTCACTGTACATCTTCACTATTAAGAGCAAAAATTCAAATTTATTCATAACCACCCAAAATTGAAGCACCATTATTTAAAACATTAAACTGGAAATTCTGTAAAAATTAAACAGAACAAATCAGATAAAACTGTACGCCAACACCTCTAGTAACAGTGTACCTATTATATTTAAAACAACGGACTAGTTCAGAGTCAATAATTTTATTAGAAAAAGATTAATACTAAATCTTTTCAATGACAGAGACAATCAAGTCTGTAACAGAAAGTCAGAGATACTTTATTTTCACTTCTAAATCCAAAAGCTAGGTATAGCAGAGTTGTAAAAATGGAATCCCACTTAGTCTGATTCACACAAATACTAACGTTTAATCCTGTTTTCAAAGTCCAAGAATGAAAACTTTCAATTAAACACTGAGCAAGCCACGTTTGGATAATATTTCTTAAAAAGTCTTAAAGAAAAAATTATGATACAGGACCTAAGTTTTCAGTGGCATATATGCTATAAACACATGTTCTGAAATCTGGTAGGTCACACATGAGTCCTGAATTAATTTTTAATTAAAAAAAAAAAAAAAAAAACAAAAACTAACTGAGCTTTATACTTTTTCTATGCCACTATAGCTTTCTTTCACCTCATTTTAATGTCGATCTTCACTTTATGCCGTTTTCAGTATTCATCCAAAATTCTTCGAACAGTAGTCCTACAATGCAAAATTTGGGGAAAAATGATAATTAGATAACATGTAAAAAGCAAATTTGTATGACTAATTATTGGCCCAGTTACTAACTGCTAATTATAATTAACATATGTATGTGGAATGTTTGTATTCTTTTTAATAATCAAGGCATCAGTGTGGTCCTTAAAGCTACGTGCCTGTGTATGCCTGCCTATGTGCATATGGCTCACACAGATATAACACTAATGCTTTCCTAGAAAAGGAATGCCATTAACTAAATAACTAATTGGTACTTCCTTTCATTAGGAATATTTGATCCCATGCCACTAGCCCAATGAATGAACAGTTTATAGGTTTTAAGAACACTTAGAAAACCTGACTTTTAATAATAGTTCTTTAAAAACCCAAATTCATTCTATACAGTTCATTGGTTCTTTGTATTTCAGACTGCAGGTGTCTGTCCTTGCTAGTCACCACTGCTTTAAACATATCAGCCAGTGACTATTCCTGTATACCTACGGCTGACTGCAAATTCTCCTACACAGTAGGAAATATTAAACACATACCTCTTAAAGACTTGAGAATTGCACTGAATGTAACAAGGCGAATAATATGAAGTGTTTATTGTATTTAAAATTCGTTAAAGATATCTAATTCTGGGCACCACTGCATCCCTACATACAGTTGAAAAAAAATTCCATTCTGTTAACATTTGATTTATAGTTTTCACACAATACACAAAAAAACCCCTCTGTGCTTCTTGTAAAGAACAAAAAAGATACACAACAGTTAAGCGTAAAGATCACAGGCAATAGCATTCAAACATGGATGTGGGTAGAGAAAGGAGTACCTGGCATGAGTACCTGCTTAGTTTGACTGAATCCTTGATTTTTAATTTGGCTTTTCATGGGCCGCTCACAACACCAACGCTGTGTGAGGTATGGTAGTCAGCTGCAATAATTCATAAACCCTACACTTCCATCAATCCAATGCTACTGGCTCTCGAGTTACAGAACAAACTGCATTAGAATGCAAGGCAATAAAGCAAAAAACTAGAAACATCCTTGACAAAGAAATACTAGCAGTTTAATTAAAACAAAGTAGTCCAACATGTGCCTCAGAAATATTTAAATTTTTAAAGCATATGTCTCTGCCAATGTACCAACACAAGATGGACTTAATACCAAAAAGAAAAAGAAAAAGAAAAAAAAAAAACACTTCAACCTTTTTATTTAAAAAAAAAAAAAAAGAAATGACAGCAAAAGCCCTAAAAAAAGGATAATTAACTTTTCAATGGCGACTATATTACAAATGTGGGCAATAATTTCCAAAGAGGCACACTAACGGGGGCACGAGTCTGCTACAAAATAGCTGAGACAAAACAATGTACCTCAAAATGTTTTGCAGGACTACACTGTCTTTTCCTTCAGAAGATGCTTTTGTTTGTCTTCTTACTCGGCTTAGTTCCATCTTCATCTGTGCATACTTACGCTGCACTGTCAAACAGTAACAAAAAGCCCTAATCAAAGTGAGAAACAATACACTTACCTCTGTCTGATCTGAGGTCTTATCAGATCAGTTTTAATTGGACTGAGTGTCACCTTCAGATTTAATGTCTTCACTGGTCCCATTGACCTCATTCTTAGTATCACTTTCCTTCGATTCTGTGTTTGTGTCTTCACTCTGTTTTTCTCGACTACTGGACTTCACACTACTTTTTTTATCATCAGATCCTCTCTTTTCTGCCACAAAAGAAGACATTGACCATGGATTTTAAAGCAAAATACAACAAATACATGATACTCTGAAAAGCAAAACAATCATTTCCCACAGACTGCAAACAACAGTTTGGTGAATCTATCAAAGGGATAAAATTTGTAACTTGTGGAGGTGGGAGAGGGCATGGAGGGGAATTAAAGGAATCAAAAGGTAAAATAGTGGGCAAATTCAAACTGGTAAGGAACTATTAAGTATAGACAACTCCAAATCACTGCAGAATTTAACATTTTAGTGAATTTCATTTTGGGTAAATAACACGAACAAACAATGGGAAAGGCAGGAAAGAGTACACAAAAACTGTGTTCATACGAGGTAAATTATTTATTAAGTTAGAAGGGTACAAACAGTAATCCCAAAAAGTGAAAAAAGTTGAATATATTTAACAGGCATGTTTACCCTATTAAATCTTTTAAATGCAAAAGATTATTTATATGTATTTAAATACTCAAAAGGAACAAGCTTTAATCAAGAAAACAGACCTAAACCCCAACTCAAGCCAACACGACTTCTGTGCTTTGCTAAGAAAAGTAGTAAATATGCCATCTGAAAATTGTTTTTCCAAAAGGACAAATTAAAATTCAACTCAGCTGCAAAGAAAACCATGAAACAGTAAAATTCAACTTGTTTCTCTAATATTTTCTCTGGAAGGGTAAAATCTTCAGCTAGAGGCAAAGGTGGTAGGTACACAAAGCAAGAATACTGTAGCTTTTTCAAGTCCAAGTACTGCCCTAACAAAAGATTTCTACTGAAAAAGTTAAAGCAAAGAAGAAACTTCCTAGAAAAATTATTTTTTTCCCTTAAAACTAAGAATAGCTGGTTTAGCAGAGTAGTTCATAAGATAGAAAGATGTTTTAAGAGACGCAGAACCTTCTATACAGATTCTGGACAAAGTTATTAAGACACAACACCAAATAACTGGGAGAGGAATGAAAACGGATACAAAACACGGCTTAGGAAGGGCACCCATTCAAAGACTGTAAGAACTGAAGGTCTTATGCGAAGGGGCAGATTCAGTCCATAACACTTGGAAAAAGCACAAATCAATGTCCAAGTAGCTACCTGCAGGACTTGCTTCATGTCTGTCTGTTCATTGTGAGAACTGTGCCAGTACAGTACAGTGCACTCTAACTAACCTTGTGGGAAAGTCCTCCCTTTGTGCCTTATGGGCTTCTCTGGTGCACAGGTAGCTTCAACGTGGAAGAGTCGTCTTGTTGTCCCGTAGAGGACTAGTAGTCAGTCCAATAATCTTATCTTCTGCCCTATGTAAATATGGTAGATCTTAATAGTCCTAAGGACATCCACAATGTTTGGTGGACTTTAGAGCTATGGACAAAAAAAATGGAAACTCTCTTGACAAAAAAAGCACCCTACACTGGCTTGTGGTAAGAAATAATAAAGAGTTTTGTGTGACAAACCACTTTTCATTTGTGGAATTAGATAAACTGCTTCCATCACATCATCTGGAGCAGAGAACTTGTTTACTCATCTGCCATTATCAAGTACCTGCTACTGCTCGTATCTGGCCCCAAACATCCAGGCCTTCAGTCACTTATATACTTAGGACTGCCTGAATAGCTACAGGGCATTTTCAAAAGCCAGTAAATTGCATCATTTCTAAAAGAAATCCCAAGGTTTAAGATTAAATCTATAATGGCATACACAATCTTTCAAGATGAGCCTGACACAAAGTTTTTTGTGTCAAGTCTTCTCTCCTTCCTCCAAATCTCACCATGAAAATCCCTGTCTGTCCATGGGCACAGTCTAAACACAATTCTGCTTATTTTGCTTAAACAAAAGTTTTATTAAGTTCTGTGATGTCATCATTACAATCAGGATTACAGGTAAATACTTCAGGACAACTTTGTGCTCCATCCAGAAATTACACAAATATGCTTGTTTTTAGTTAGGCCAGTGCCATTTACTCCTCAACTTTGATTACAGATCATTATGAAGGCTACCTAGCTTTTTTCCCTAAGAACCAATCCAACTATTTTAAGTGACAGAAGTGATGATATAGAAAATAGCAACTAAAGTAAAAATAGGATTATAAAATTAAAAAAATGACTCAAAGCAGAAGTCACTAATTTGATCTCTGACAGTCCTATGTGCTATGTGGCTCTTGAGCGGGCCCTCCACCTCAAAGACACATACAGAAAGACTTGCAAAAAAGATTAGGTGAAACTTTCTTAAAACTAATGTAAAAGCAGCTCTTTTTATAGCAATTTCTGAACTTACATGGCAAATACTAAGGCTTGTGACAGTAAGTTTTTAAAGTCATCCTTGTTTCCATTTGCTCCATGTTGTAAAAAAGGCCAATATATGTAAAACAAGTACTTTAAAAAGAGAAGGTACATTTATTTAGGGAAAAATAAAAGCAGAAAACCAAAAAATATGTCCACTGTTTATGCTAGTAGTTCTCCAACTCAGTCTAGGAAAAATCCGAGGCACTAAGATACTTCTACAAAAGAAGATACTGAGTACCACATAAAAGAGAAGTTTAATGAACTCAAACAGCAGCACGTATATTATGCTGGTGATCACACATGGACACAGATATGTAGAACAGGATGGAATAAGGAGAACCAAAAAAATTAGCGACAGGCCCTTTCTCTCATTCCTAAAAACCATGCAAAGCAGAACAATATGGTCAATATAAAAAGACAGATGCTAAAAGAATCTGAAGAAAACAAATGAAAATGCAGAAAGGAGATCCTAATGATTCAAAGAATTACAATATCTTTGAAGGCTAAGGAAAGTTAAGTTAAAAGATGAGGATACCCTTGCAAAACAATGCTAAAGAGAAAATGAAAAAAGTGCATTAATAGTGCTAATGGTACAGTAAACCAGCTACTGGGAAGCCACAGAAAACCAAAGGAAAAAGAGCAGGAAGAGCATGTTGATTCAACAGGAAACATGGCTAAGACACATGTTCAACTTCTGGCAATTTAGAAGTTAATTACTAAACTGAATGCTATACTTGAGGATCAATGCAACGAAGTACATTTGCTTTGTAAGACATATTATGGAACACGGAGCTACTGATTAGGAAAAAAAAAAAAATGTATCCAATAGCCAAGGTACTAAAATTCTACAGCCTAATAACACTGAAAAGTAATGCAATACATGGAAGAATCTAGCTGATCCAGGTTATGAACTGAAGGATGTGATTTTAAAGTGTTCTAAGAAAATACCAGATCAACTGTCATTCTTACAAATGAGAGCAGGAGGGGAGAAAGAATGCTTGTCTCATTTCTCCTACTAAATGACTGAAAAAAGAGTATTGCTTGAAGGGGTCTAAAAGGAAAAGGAACTTTGCCCATGATGGAAAAAACTGAGTGGGGAGAAAAGAATATGAAAAATACAGTCAATTAATGAATTAAATTATCATGTAAACTAACCTTTTTCCTTGGATTTCCTATCTTGTTCTCTGTCCCGACTTTTGCTCCTATGCTTATATGATTTTCGATCCCGGCTTTTTGATCTTCTTCGATCTCGACTTCGAGATCTATGTTTTCTCTCTGATCTATCATGGCTTCTGCTTCTTCGTCGATCTCTACTTCTTAATAATTTAAAACAAAAGAAAAGCAACTTCAGCTGGTATAACAATGAGAAAAAGCCTTGAAAAATTATATACTGTTGAATAATTAACAAGATTAAGCAAAACTTACCCTTAAGAGGCAAATTAATAGAATCTACTAGTACAACACATTTATATTTTCAATTCTTAAAAATTTAAGACTTTCATATTAGCCCAAGAGACAGAAGGGGCCACAAAAACCAGAGACTTCATCAGCCTCAGACTAGAAGAACTAGATGGTGCCCGGCTACCCGCAATGACTGCCCTGGCAGGGAACACAACAGAAAGTCCCTGATGGAGCAGAAGAAAAGTGGGGTGCAGAACTCAAATTCTAGTAGAAAGACCAGACTTAATGGTTTGATTGAGACTGGAGGGACCCCAGAAGACACAGCCCCTGGACTCTGGTAGCCCAAAACTGAAACCATTCCCAAGGCCAACTCTTCAGACAAAGATTAGACTGGACTATGGGACATAAAATGATACTTGTGAAGAGTGTGCTTCTTAGCTCAGGTAGATACATGAGACTAAATGGGCAGCTCCTGTCCAGAGGCGAGATGAGACGGCAGAGAGGGTCAGGAGCTGGTTGAATGGACACGGGAAACCCGGGGTGGAGAAAGAGTGTGCTGTCACAGTACAGGGTGACAAAGCAATGTATGTATAATAAATTTCTGTATGAGAGACTAACCTGAATTGTAAACTTTCACTTAAAGCACAATTTAAAAAAAAAAGAATTTAAGACTTTCAATAATTAATTAAAATTTCAAGAACTGAAAATTACTGAAATTCCTTCTTAAATTCAATTTATCTAAAATTGCGTTAATATAGTTATCTCTGCACTCTTTAAGACTCTTCTTTAATCACAATTCTAATTAAACAGTAAAGCTAATTTCATATTCTCACGCTTTAAAATAGTTACATATTTTAATTCTTATATTATGCTTGATGTTGTTCAAAGGAAACCTTACCCGAAATAATTTATAATTTAAAAGCCGTCTTAGAATCAGTGAGAAGAGATACGTTTGAGACCATCCGGTACACTGCCTTCCCTAACAAGACAGTGTCAAACCTCCTTAGGCTGGTAAAAGAGCAAAGAACTTGCTCTGGAGACAGACTCATTCACTGACTCACTCATCGTATTCTCATACTCCATGCTAGTATGTTTAACTCCATTTAAGAGTTTCCATTCCAAGGAATGACACTAATAATTACCACTACCATTTACTATGCACTCACTATGTGCCAGGCACTTTCTTAAATGTTTTACATACCTGCTTCGCCTTCTTTCTCGGCTTCGTGATCTCTTGTGGTCCCGAGATCTGCTGCATCTTCGGTCAGAAGTTCGGCTTGAGTGCCTACTTCGGGAACGACTTCTCTTTCTTCTTTCTCTGTCACGAGCCCTTTCTTTTTCTCTTTCTTCCTCTTCTCTTCTTCTTTTCCTTTCTCTTTCTTCCCTTTCTCTCTCCCGCTCTTTCTCTCTTTCTTCTCGTTCTTGCTTCTCCTTTTTTAAACGCTCATCACGATCAGGATCTTCGGTTCTTTTTCTTAACTTTTCCTAAGGAAATCAAGTTGGATTTTTATACAACTATAATCTCAAAGACACTGTCAAACAAAGGTCACCTAATATGAAGCAATTTGTACCAACTTACAAAATTTAGTGCCATAAAAGGGGAATGTAGAAATTCCAACACCATGTATGTACACAAGATTATCATTACTTGACCAAATCCTCTCAGCAATATTCTTCCTCCCAAATTGCTGGCACTTAAGACTGAAGAAAATGAAGTGCTGTGCCAGGAATTATCAAGGCTTCAAATAATCACATATGTATCAGCAAAGTATCAAGAGGTTTCTATCCCCATGTGACCAATTTTTAGCTATAGTATGTTAGAAGAAACTTACTTTTAATTCTTCTACAGTAGCTTTAATTTTGGCATAGCCCATGTGTTGCTTTCCCATCAAATGATCATCTACCCGGGACTGAGCATCTCCTACTATCAAAAAGGCTCCACACACTTCACACACTTCCATTTGTTTTTCTTGGGCAGCAAAACTTTCAATTGTCTGAAACAGTAAGTTGGTTATCGTAAGAATATCTGAGAAGAGAACAAACAAATCCCCCAAAAGTACTTAACATTTATGACAGACGTCTTTCAGAAAGCTATTTTAGCCTGAATTCACTCCTTAGGACCAACAGGCTAAAGGTGTGGCCTCCATATTATTTTAAAAAAATCATTACGTAACTGAACTTATTAAGCATAATCTTAACATACTCAATTCAATACCTGAGGACCAACGACCAATCTTATTCTACCATCAATATCCAAAATGTATATATGGTATTCTCTAATTAAAACAGCTAAGAAGGCAGAAGATAATTAAGAGTGTACCAAATTTGAACTAAGGTAAATATGTGCTAACTAATTTACTGTTTTTTAAAAAAAAAAAAAAAAAAAAAAAAAGCCTCAATTAATACTCATAAGGGAGGGGCTGGCACACCAACAGCCAGAGGCTTATTTTTGTAAATAAAGTTTTCCTGACATACAGCTACACCCATTTGTTTAGGTATTGACCATAGCTGCAATGACACAACAGTAGAACTCAGTAATTGCCAGGGACCTATGGCCTGCAAACCTGAAGTATTTACTGATCCCTGATTAAGGGCATTAATCATTAAATTGTTTTCAAAGGTTGCTTGCATCGTAATAGGTCCCAAGTAATTCTCAGTGAACAGGCTGGGCAATTTAAAATGAGATTGTTACTCACCGAGGTTGTGGATCTAAGTAATTCTCTTTCCTCTTTTAACTGTTCAACTAATTTCATCATTCCCTGGGCTTCTTCCACCTTTCCCTCAGATCCTAGTTCTTCAATCTAGAGGATAAAAGAGCAGTCAACACTCCTTTCTAACCAAATTATCCCAAGTATTTTCTTTATTTCTCAACCTTCACTTGCATGTAATGGTTGTTCTGGGATTTTGTTTGCCTGGTTTTGTTTCGTTTTCTGAAGCCCCATTGGGTTTAATTAACCCTTTTGATGTTTTAATAGCTTTACTGAAGTAAAACTGACACACAATAAGCTGCGTATCTTTAAAGCGCACAGTCTGGTAAGTTTTGATATATGCCTAAACCCATGAAATCATAACCATCTAGATAATGAACACATCCTCCACCTTAAAAAGTTTCCTCATATCCCTTTGTAGTACTGCTCCCAACCCCAACCCAGGCAACAACTGACCTGCTTTCTCTCGCTATAGTTTACATTTTCTACAAATGGAATCATACAGTTTGTACACCTTTATTCCTTAGTAGTATTCAGTATTGTGGTATTGCACACATACACCACAATTTGTTGATCCATTCATGGTTGACGGACATTTGGGTTGCTTCCAGTTTGGTTGTTTTTATTCCCCCCAATTATAAATAAAGCGGCTACAAACACTGATATACAATTCTTTGTATAGACATATGCTTTCATGTTTCTAAATACCCAGAATTTGGAATGGCTAGTAGAGCATTTTTAACTTTTAAAGAGACATATAAACGTCTTTCCAAAGTGGTTGCACCATTTTACATTCCCACCAGTGGTGTACAATAGTTTTAGCTGCCCTACATCCTCACCAATACTTGGTATGGACAGTCTTTAATTTCTACCATTCTATTAGGTGTAAAATTGGTATCCCACTGTGGTTTTAATTTGTATTTCCCTAATGAGTAACAATGTTGAGCATCTTTTCATATTTATTTGCCATCCTTGTATCTTCTTTGGTTAAGTGTCTGTTCAAGTATTTTCTGACATTAATGTACATAATTCTCACCTGCTGCAGGAGTACATCAATTTTGTCTGTTAGAACTTGAATTTTTTCTTCATTTTTGCCTGTTGGGCCAGCTGCCTATTAAAGACAACAAAATGTGTTATCAACAAGTAAAAACAAAGATAAATATTCAAACTCTCACATACCATACGTAATATCTGTATCTAATAATTAAAATGTTTACCCACTAGTAACTCATTTTTCTTTAATTTCTGTTAATTATTTCATCAATTACTAATATTTAAGAATAAAATCTTATGATTACTAATAAAGACTGAAAAAAAAAGCATTTTAAAAATCATTCTAAAAGAACACAAAGTAATGAATAAGGATGACAAACTTCAAAATATATGGGACGTCTCTGGGTCTTCAGAGAACAGGAACACTTTACAAAAGCCTGTATATTCATTTCATACCTACCCCAGAGGACTGCTGGTTTTGAGACAGTGCCAAACGAGCATGGCCTCGTCTAATTCTACGTTCTACCTCTGCAAGCAAGCTCTGTAAGTATCGCAGAAAATCTCTCTCGTAGCCAACTTTCATAAAACGAGAACTCTTCTCATACCTGATAAAAATGAAAATAAACAAACATTACAACTCATATATTCTATCTTAACTAGTCTCAATTTTTGGCTGAAGAGTAAAGTAGGTATATATAAAGTGAACTTCTGGTTGCCCCTCATCCTAGTGAAGGGAAAGGACTATGGCACTATGTTTGGTTAAGAACATAGATTTTACAATCAGGCAAATCTAGGGGCTTGAACACCCCCCTACTATGCTGGACTGTGACCCTGAACCCAGGACAAGTCTTATCTATAAAATTGGGGCTCACCTTACTGAAGCCACATAACTTTCCTCCCACCCCTAGCCAGTGGAGAGGATCTCTAGCATTCATTTCATATTGACTTGTTATTTTTTTCAACCTTTATCCCTTCTTAACCAAATGACAAGTAAAATAAAAAAATCAACAACGTACTGTTTTCGTAAATTTTCATCATGAATTTTTTCACATGGACCTGGAAGATAAAGAATGAGAAATATGAATATATACAATACATGTGGTATTAACAACCTTTTCTCTTGCCACAAAAAAAAAAAAGGGTATTTTTTTATTTTTAAAAAGGAAAAAGATCCATTTTACCACTGAGTAGTCTGTAGACACCTAAATTACTACTACTTAATAGTGAAGAAATGCGCCCAAGCAAGCACATGAAAATTGGTCTCCTCAGTCTTCAAGGTCAATGTAATGGAGAGCAACTATACGGTAAGTTGCTGGCAGGTGCTGTTGAGTCGGTACCGACTCATAGCGACCTTATGTACAACAGAATGAAACACTGCCCGGTCCTGCACCATCCTTATAATCATCGTTATGGTAAGAGAAAAAGAAAAAAACAAAGAGGAACAGAGGAAGAAAAGAGAAAACTATTTCTTATTGCCACTAAAGAACACTGTGATGCGGGTAGATCACTGGTCTGAACCATCGCTGACATTTTATTAATTTCAAGCACCTGCATATAAAGTCAAATACTACAAGACTAGAAGCGATAATTTCAACTCTTTTGGCTGTTTGTTCCGGAATTTACCTCTGTATTTCTAAATTCTAGGCTTATTTTGCTTTTTCCTATAATCTTAGACATCAGGATTTTACCTTAAATCAATATTGTGTTTATATTTTGACTAAGCAAGTTACTTTTCACTGTCCAGCCAAACAAAAAGTACACTATGATGACATGTCTGATATACTTCATACTTTTCTTGGAATTAATATTACCTTTATTTTTTTCATTTTCTATATATATGCAAATTCTTCTCAACCACTGCAACTCAGCTATAAAAACTATCTCAATACTAACTTGTCTCAAGACTCAAAATATTTCAGAGAATCATTTTTCGTAAGCCTTCTGTCCTGCTTTAAAGTGGGCTGCTTATTTTCTAAGCTTGCTATATAGTCATCATCCTGAGAAATGTCTTTTCTGCTCTGAATTGGATGCAGTTCGCTGGAGCTCGTTTTTCTCCTTCTTGGTTTATGCCCGTGTTTTGGTGGAGTTTCCTGAGAAAAGGTCCATGTCGAGACCTTGCATGTTTGAAAATGTCTTTTTCAACCTCACACATTGATGTCTGGCTACACAGATAACCTAGGTAAACTATATCTGTATTTTCACTCAGTTATCTCTAATTCCACCCTGAGGGTATTTCTCCAATGTCTTCAAGATTCCATGTTGCTACTCACAAGTCTGAGGCCATTCTGATTCATAATCCTGTGATCTGCCCCCCACCCTTATCCATGGTAATCTGAAATTGCACAGTCGTGTGCCTTTTTGTGGATCTTTTTTCATTCATTGTACTGAGCATTTGAAAGATCCACTTAATTTAGACTGGTGGCTTTCAGTCTACAAAATATTTTTCTTACGGTATTTCTTTGATAATTTCCTCCCTTCTGTTGTCTCTACTGGCAACTCAATCAGATATTAGAGCCCCTGGACTGATCCTCTCATTTTTTTAATTTTAATCTTTCTGTCCTATTGTCAACGTTCCGCAAATTTCCTTGATTTTATTTTCAAACCTTTCCTCTGATTTTATTTCAGATTTCTCTAGTCCTAATTTCTAAGAGTTCTTTCTAGTTGCTTAAAAGTTCCCTTTTTATGGCATCCTATTCTTTCTGACACAGTATCTTATATCTCTCAAAGATATTAAATTCAGTTAAGACTTAAAAAAAATGTTTTCTTCTGCTTTCCATATTATCTCTAATTCCACTAAATTCTTTTTTTCTGTTGGTTTTGGATAATCTTTCACGTTGAAGGTTTTCTTCAAACGGCTGGCTGGCATTCCTTGGCTGGCAATTGATTTTTAAAAGACACACCTAAAATCTGACAGGAAGTTGGTATGCATAGGCAGCATTTGTCAACTACTGGGCTTTACCATAGGAAAATGAGGCATTAAGACTTTCTTTTAAGAGACTCCTAAGGGTCAGTACCTGTGGATCATTTCTGGAACTGTCTGTTCACTTTCTCTAGAGAAGAATCCTCATATCTTCTGCCTGGGGAAAAACATCTGACTGTATATCCTTCTAGGAACAGGGCAGAGGAAGGGGACAGGAAAACCCCACTATTAAGAATATAGACTATTTTATCTCTTTTACAGCCTCGTTTCTTACGTACTACTGCCCTGTGGTGTGTCTGGAATTCCAGTACCTAGACTCTTCTAATGTGTCCCTAATGTGTTACGGCAAGCACTGTGCATAATGAATTAACTTCTCTGTTTATGCATCCAAAATGGTACTAGTTATATACCATCATTGGGAGAACTTAGAAAATACTCATTCAAATTATAGTTTGTATTCTGTGGTTCAGATGAACTAGAGTCTGTCTAGTCCAATCTCTCAAAAAACAACTTTCTATTCTCCAGTAGTGTAGGGGTTAGGAGGCAGGATCACCAGATGCACAGGTCCTGAGAGCCTGACCAACTAAACTAGTGGTTCTCCAGGGGACATCTGGCAATGTCTGGAAAATTTCTGGTCATCACAACTGGGGGGTGCTAGTGGCATCCAGTGGGTAGAGGCCAGGGATGCTACTAAACATCCTATAATGCACAGGACAGCTCCCCACAACAAAGAATTATCCAGCCAAACCCTAAACTAGACAAATCTCTTTTCTTTTCAGCCCCATAACTCAACCCTGCCTTCTATGGTACCTGGTGCCTCCAAATTCTGAGCCTGTCCAGGGTTCTGCTGATCAAACACTCGCTTCTGTTTAGTATCCCCTTCTGCAGGATTTTAGAGTACAGGTTTCTCTGCTCTGCTGAGTTTGCTGTTATTCCTCCATCCACTTGTCATCTTCCAAAAATTTGTTGACATCTTAATGTTATCTCTTCTTCCATTTACACCTTTTTTGTTTTTTAAATTTTCATTTTAGTGGGGTTTTGGGAGGGAGTGGAAATAAACATGTATGTTTAATTAAGTCACCATGTTTAATCAGACTGACATTTATTAACACATTCAAAAATCTAAGCCAAGAAGCAAATTATCAGCAAACCTCAGGGGAAAAAAATATTTTCAGAATTACAAAGAATCAGTTAAAAAACAAATCACAACCTTTCTAACCAGAATCACAGTAAAGGGTCCCAGGCAGAGTGGGAGAAAAATGTAGAACAAAAATCAAATCCATAAAAAAGACCAGACTTACTAGTCTAGTAGAGACTGGAGGAATCCCCAAGACCATGGCCCTAAGATACCCTTCTACCATGGAAGTGAAGCCATGCCTGGAGACCACCTTTCAACGAAACACTAGATAGGCCTACAAAATAAACAATAACACCCAAGAGGAACCAGCTTCTTAGAACAGTTAATTATATGAGACCATAAGAGCAAAATCTGCCCAAAAGCAAAGACAAGAAGGCAGGAAGGAGTAGGAAAACCAGACTAAAGGTAACAGGGAACCCAGGGGGGAAATGGGGAGAGTGCTGACATACTGAGGGGACTGTGACCAATGTCTTGGAACATTCTGTGTACAAATTATTGAATGGGAAACTATTTCACTCTGTAAACCTTTACCTAAAGCACAATAAAATATTAAAATATATACATATAAAAACCAAATCAAACGAAACCCATTGCCATCAAGTCGATTCCACTCATGGCGACCCTATGGACAGAGTAGAACTGTCCCACTGGGCAAGGAGTTGCTAGAAGATTCAAGGATTCAAACTGCCAACCTTTTGGTTAGCAGTCAAGCTCTTAACCACTGTGCCACCGGGGCTCCGTATATTACTTATTACATATATATACACACAAAAAGCAAAAAAAAAAAAACCCACAGATCATAAATCTGATCAAAGTCATACAGAAAATTCACTTACCAAGATCAGAACGAGTATTTGTGAACAATTCCGCAGGACAAAAACCACAGAGATAATATTTACAAACCTAGTGAAGAAAAACAAAGGCACTTAACTTTTTTAATTGTTCAGTTTTAAAACTGTATTAGAAAGGATGCCAGATAACTATTTACTCATTTCTTTGCTATATGCATCCTTCAATCTAGTAAGTGTTAAGAATCATTTCATTTGTTAAACTATATTAAACCAAAAAAACCAAACCTGCTGCCATCAAGTCAACTCCGACTCATAGCGACCCTATAGGACAGAGCAGAACTGCCCACAGGGTTTCCAAAGAGCGGCTGGTGGATTTTAACTGCCAACCGTTTGGTTAGCAGCCAAGCACTTAACCACTCTGCCACCAGGGCTCCTAAACTATATTAGTCAAGTAAATTAGTGACTTTTAGACTCCTAGACTTCAGTAAAAGACTTAAACACATAGGGGGATAAAGTAAGCATAAAACATTTAACTGGGAAATGCTAAGACTTACACTTTAATAAAAACTGTCCTTTTTTAAAGCATTCACTTCTTCCATTTTGTGTAGGACTGACACAGAGTTACCAACATTTTCTACTATTTACTTTTACCCCACCCACCCCTGCAACAGCAACAACAAATATGGGAAAGACATCCTAGAATAAGGGGAAATTTTAATTGTTACTTAAAAATAAAAACAAAACCCTACATCCTTATTGTTCTGTTATAGACCAGAATCAATGTACAGGTTAGGATTTTGGAATCACTGTTGAAATCACAAATAACACTCATTTGAAGCAATGTGGCTCAGTATTTTCCTTTAAAAATTCTTGTAAAAGGCCATTAAGAATTAAGTTCATAAACAACACAAATTTAGTTTTATGTCAATACTTTCAGGTTACAGCCTTATGTCTCAGTATCTTCATACTATTATGTTCCTTTTGAAGTTCTTCTAATACTTAATTTTAAAGATTATTCTTTGCAACTTAAAGACGGTTCTTACAAACAAACTTTATTAAAAAAGACTATACACTTTGTTAATTTTTTTCAAATTATTTCTAAACTTTCAATTCTCATATGAAATGTTTAATTTCATTATTTACTCATTAATTATTCAAGCCTAATTTATTAAACTTTGCATTCACTTTAAATGTACTGCAATAAAATACCAATGCTAATATTTAATTTTGAAAAATATTTAAGAAATCTCTTATTTGGAGGAGGAAGGACAGGGACAAATAGCATACTATTTTCACTGTGTACATCTATAATCTTTCAGACAATTCGGACCCCACAATTATTTAACAAATTGTCAAAAATAAAAGCAGTATCTGGCGTTAAATGCCGTGCTGGAAAAATGGCACTCTAAACAACACCAGAGAGCTAAGCTAAGGAACAATTTGGCAGCAACCATGAAAATATAAAATGTCCCTTCTTTTAACCTAGTCGTCTTTCTAGGAATTTATCCTACAAGTGGCTCAAAGATATACATACTAGAATGTTCACTGCTGTCTGGTTGGCAATGGCAAAATGTTAGACAACGTGTATATCCATCAGAAAACAGTTAAATTATGGTCAGTTCATATGTACCAACAAGGAACATTCCCACAATATATACGAAAAAGTTGTGAAAATATACATATATTTTATATAAATGTGTATGTCTATAAATTATTAGGAAAGGGGGAAACATACATACCAATTTTTAAATTGTTTTGGGGGAGGATTTGGTGATGGGGAAAGGAAGAAGGACAGACTTTCACTTTTTACTTCTACGTTAAATCTGCATCTTTTACAGCAAGAATGTTTACTTTCATAAAAAAACACTTTAATAGTTCTAAACTCATAGGGAAAACTAGTAAAATAAAGTTCCTAACATATTAATGGAATCAATCTTTATATGACAGAGCATTTAACACAAGAAGACTTAAACACATAGGGGGGTAAAGTAAGCATAAAACATTCAACTGGGAAATGCTAAGACTTACACTTTAATAAAAACCGTCCTTTTTTTAAGCATTCACTTCTTTCAACACATACACTGTCAATTCTGGTCATCAATTTAGACCTCTTCCTATTTTACAGATTTTTATCTTTCTCTACCTACCTGAATCCAACAGTAAGCAATGTAATTCTCCCTTCAGCTAATCAAATATTATCAATACTGTATGAATTATTTTTGTTACAGTGCTTTCCCAGTATCAGTTGAATGCCTGTCCTTCAAATCATGAAGTCACATGTAAACGTCTTTACAGACTTGCACAAACCTGGGACCTTAGCTAAAATCCTGTATCTTGTAGGACACCATAAAAAGCTTCCTTTGGTATTCCAAGTTACTGGCAACCTTGGATAGGTTCAACATGGCTCCACCAAATATAAAATTCCATTTTATAAACAAGTCTTAAAAGCAATGTATTTGTTCAATACACCTGGAATTGATTCAATGGCACCTAACAACAAATCTTTATAGAAGCTGACTGCCACACCTTTATCCCACGGAGCTGCTGGTGGGTTCAAACCACCAACCTCTTGGTTAGCAGCCAAGCTCTCTTAACCACTGCACCACCAGAGCTCCTTGACCCTTGCATACTGAGACCTAAAGAATTAGTAGGAATTAGCCTGAGGGAGGGGAGAAGACAAATATTACTTGCCTGGAGAAAGGGCTAGAGAAAATTGCGCATCTGGGAAATTATAAATAGTGTTACAGTTGGAGTCCTTGTTTGTTTTTTGTTTGGGGAAGTGTAGACAGATGGGCAGCACCCTGGTTTTGAATGGTATTTGTAAGCCTTATTAAAAGTTTGAATTTCTTTACATTTTAGCAAAAGAGAGGTTTACATCTGGCTGCTGTGGATGACTGATTGAAATTGTACTGAAAGTTTGTGTAGGCAATAAATAGGAGAGCATGAGAAAGACTGGAAAGATGTATATGTAATACAATTAAATGCATGAGAATGAATTACTATAGAAAGTGTAATCATGGTTATAGCTGAAACATTAAAACAGTATGCCATCAGGGGCTCAATCTTTTTTGGTTATAAATTCTTCTATTAAAAATAAATGGTCTCTTTTGAGTTCATCTTTTTTTTAAAAAAAAAAAAACAAACTCAATTCTTTTAGCTAAAAATAAAACATCTGCTTCTAGCCTACTGTGATCAGAATTAAACTATTAATGGTGAAAGTTATTAAAAACCGCTAAAGTTGTTCTTTGTCTTCATCAGTAAAATTTTCAGGTATTCCTGAATTTTAATTAACAAATATATATGACCACTGAAGTATTACTATAATACTTTGTAACCTTTTCGAAATATATGGTAATTGGGGTTGGTTGTTTAGAATGTTTTGTTAAAGTCCCTGTCATCAAATATCAGACTGTTGCCAACAGAACGAAACACTACCAGGTCCTGCGTCAACCTCACAATTGTCACTATGTTTTAGCCCATTGTTGCAGGCACTGTGTCAATCCATCTCTTTGATGGTCTTCCTCTTTTTCCCCAACCCTCTATTTTACCAAGGATAATGTCCTTTCCCAGGGACTGGTCCCTCCTAAAAACATGTCCAAAGTATGTGAGACGAAGTCTCACCATCCTCGCTTCTAATGAGCATTCTGGCTGTACTTCGTCCAATACAGATTTGCTTGTTCTTCTGACAGTCCATGGTATATTCTTCACCAACACTATAATTCAAAGGCATCAATTCTTCTTTGGTCTTTGTCATGGATTGAATTATGTCCCCCCAAAAATGTATGTGTCAATTTGGCTGGATCATGATTCCTGGTATTGTGTGATTTTCTTATATGTTGTAAATCCTGCCTCTATGATGTTAATGAAGGAGGATGGGTGGCAGTTGTGTTAGAAAGGCAGGACTCAATCTACAAGATTGGGACTGTGTCCTGAGGCAATCTCCTGCGATACAAGAGAGAAGCCAGCAGAGGCAGGGGGACCTCATACCATCAAGAAAGCAGTGCTGGGAGCAGAGGGCATCCTTTGGACCAGGGTCCCTGCGCAGAGAAGCTACTAGTCCAAGGAACACTGATGAGAAGAAGGCCGACAGAAGAGAAAGCCTTCTCCTGGAGCTGACGCCCTGAATTTGGACTTTTAGCCTACTTTACTGTGAAGAAATAAGTTTCTCTTTGTTAAAGCCATCCACTTGTGGCATTTCTGTTGTAGCAGCACTAGATGACTAAGACAGTCTTCCTTATTCATTGTTCAGCTTTCACATGCATATGAGGCAATGGAAAACACCATGGCTTGGGTCAGGCGCACTTAGTCTTTAAAGTGACATCTTTGCTTTTTAACACTTTAAACACGTCTTTTACAGCAGTTCTGTCCAATGCATTGTTTGATTGCTTGACTGCTGCTTCCATGGGTGTTGACTGTGGATCCAAGAAAAACGAAATCCTTGACAACTTCAATATCTTCTCTGTTTATCATGATGTTGCTTATTGATCCAGTTGTAAGGATTTTTGTTTTCTTTATGTTAAGGTGTGGTCCATACTGAAGGCTGTGATCTTTGATTTCATCAGTAAGTGCTTCAAGTTCTCTTGAATTTCAGCAAGCAAGGTTGTGTCATCTGCATATCACAGGTTGTTAATGAGTTTTCCTCCAATCCTGATGTCCCGTTCTTATATAGTCCAGCTTCTGGGACTATTTGCTCAGCATACAGACTAAGTATGGTGAAAGGACACAACCCTGACACACACCTTTCTTGACTTTAAACCACAGAGTATCCCCTTGTTCTGTTCAAACAACTGCCTCTTGGTCTAAGTACAGGTTCTTCATAAGCACAATTGAGTGTTCTGGAATTCCCATTCTTCGCAATGTTATCCATAATTTGTTCCGATCCACACAGCCGAATGTCTTTTCATACTCAATAAAACACAGGTAAACATCTTTCTGGTATTCTCTGATTTCAGCCATAATCCATCTGGCATTAGCAGTGATCTGTCTTGTTCCACATCTTTTTCTGAATCCAGCCCGAACTTCTGGCAGTTCCCTGTTGGTATACTGCTGCAACCACTTTTGAATGATCTTCAGCAAAATTTTACTTGTGTATGATATTAACAATATTCAATA